TTTATTTCAACAACTTTGGCTCGTTCGTTACACTCAGTACCGCGTGGTTGCCTCTAACACCGTTCATTCAGTCCCTCTCTCTCACTCCTTCGCTCACTCGCTCACGCCTCCCTCATATTCTGTCACGTTCCATTCCACTCGACATTCATTCCCACATTCGGCCGTCCTGCACTCATGTCTGTCCTCAGACATACACCAAATCTTATGTACTAACTAGACTAAAACATCATAATAACCACTACATAATTGAGTTAAATAAAATAAACTGGAACCATACTCTACAACAACCTAATACACATAACTACTTCCTACAAGACAATCTTGTTTCTGAATTTAAAACATACAACTCTACATTGGCAAAAACATTTAAATGTTACTTCGAACTTAATACAATTTATAGGTTTAGAAAACAAAATGTTTAGTTTTACATAGAAAAATAACATAGTAAATACTCTGGTACAGATAGCCCTACGCCATGGCACTGTGATAATGAACGAAAGTTAACCCCTCCTGAAATAAGAACTGCAATAATAACCTGCGGAGTAAGGTGACTGCTACTCCTCCAGCATCTCGGCGTCACCGTGTTGAGGCCATCTCTTCATTTGGTCAGCTGAACTGGATGAACGCTGGGGACCCTCTACAGAACTATCAAGTTTCTCTACGTCATAGCGATCCTTACGCTTGCATTTCACCACTCTATAAGGGCCTAGGTATTTAGGTTTCAGCTTCAACCCTGGACCGAACTGTGTTCTTTTAATCGCCACTAAATCACCTTCCTTATACTTTGAACTTTCCTTCCTCTTTCTATCATATTGTTTTTTATTTTCCTCTTGTATCTTTAGAATCTGTTCTTTGGCTTGCTGCCTTATCTTCTCTCTATTTTCATCATATTGTAGTGTATTTTCTTCCTGTAATAGTTGTAGAATTTCCAAATCTTCCTTACCCTTCATTTTTACTCCCATCAGTAGTTCAAATGGTGTTGTGTTTATGCTTCTCTGGAAAGTAGAGTTGAGTGCCCTCTGCACTTTGCTTACATGCTTGTACCATACTGCAGGATTCTCCAAACATAGTTTTGTTAAAACTGGAATAAGTATTCGATGTACTCTCTCCACTTGGCCATTACCACGTGGCACACCAGTAGTAATCTTTACATGAGATATCTTTTCTTCTTCACAATAACTCTTAAACTCATTACTTGTAAATGCCGTTCCCCGGTCTGTTATGAACCGCCGGGGGTTCCCAAATATTTGCTGATGAATCTGAATTTTCCTTAATGTCTCTGATGATGAAGTAGTTTTCGTGGGAAACAGCCATACGAACTTCGTAAACCCATCTATCACCGTGAGTATGTAGTTGTATTGCTTTCTTGTCTCTGTAAGTGGACCAATATGGTCTAAATGCAGGGTATCAAATGGAACACCTTCTTTCTCTATCGGATTCAAGAATCCTTCCTGTTTTCCTTCCTTCCTTGTTGCTAGTAGGCAAGGAATGCAACTCAATAAAAAATCCTGCATCTTCTTGTCCACATCTCTAATGTAATATTCCTTATTCAGTAACTCTTTCATCTTAGACTTTCCAAAGTGACCTTTGCTGTGTACTCTGTTAATAATTTCTTTCTCCAAACTTCTTGGCACTACAAACAGCTTCTGCTCAGTCTTATACAACACACCATTTTCTAACCAATAATCGTCGTATGGACTTCCTCCTCTCAAAATTTCCTTTATGGCTTTTATGCCATCATCTTGATCTTGTGCTTGGCGTAAACTCTCCTGCAGAGTAGTAACCACTGCCACTGTTGGTATGCGGCTCAAAGCATCTGCATGCTGCATCCTGGAGCCCGCTCTGTGCTCCACTTCGAAATCATATTCACTGAGCATGAGGACCCACCTGGCTACCTTGGCTGACAAGTCTTTCTTCTTAAGTGTTAATTCAAAAGCCTTACAGTCTGTGACTATTTTAAATGGAATACCATAAAGGTAGTGCCTGAACTTCCTGATACCTTCTATGATGGCTAGTGCTTCCAATTCGTAGCTTGAGTACCGGCTCTGAATGTCAGTTGTCTTCTTACTCATGTAATGTACTGGGTGTAAGCCTGACCCTGGATGGTGTTGCATGAGTATTGCAGCCAATGCTACACCTGAGGCATCGGTGTGCAATTCAGTCTTCAACTTCGGATTGAAAATCTTCAGAACAGGTCCGCTAGCTAATTTATTCTTCAGTGTCTCAAAAGCTTTTCTTTCCTTATCCTCAAATATGAACTCTGTATTCTTCTTTAATAAATCAGTCAATGGCTTCGCCACAGAAGCATAATTTTCAATGTACTTCCTGAAATAGCTTGTCAATCCAACAAAACTGTGCAAGTGCTTGAGGGTTCTTGGCTCAGGGTACCTTATGACTGCATCCACCTTATCTGTACTCGGCCGTACTTCTCCATCCTTCACCCTGTGGCCCAAGTACTCAACTTCACGCTGCAGTAGGTTCGCCTTTTTCCAATTAATCTCCAAGCCATAATGTGCTGCGACTTCTAGCACTTGCTTCAACCTCGATACAGCCTGAACTTCATCCAAGGCTGGAATTATAATGTCATCGATAAATATGATTAACACTCCTTGGGAAATCAAATTTCTAAAGATTATACTCACAAATCTCATAAAAGTCTTGGGACAGGTGGACAAACCAAACGGGGCACGGAGAAATTCAAACTGCCCGTGGTGAGTGACAAATGATGTGTACTTAATAGACTCCTCGCTGACCTTCAAATGAAAGAACCCACTTTTCAAATCAAGTACACTGAATACCTTAGCTTCCTGCAATTTGTCAATCAGATCATGGATTACGGGAAGTGGAAATTCATCCTTAACTATTTTCTTGTTGACCTGCCTATAGTCCACACAGACCCTAGTCGAACCATCTTTCTTCTTTACTAGCACTAAAGGACTGGAGTAATCTGAGAAACTCACCCTCACGATGCCTTTATCAAGCCATTCCTCGATTTGATCTTCCACTACCTGTTGCTCCATAAGTGACAGTCGTCTGGGTCGCTGTCGCACTGGGATGTCATCCTTCAATACAATTTGAAGTTGGATCGGGGCCTCTTCCTTATACAATGGCTTATACTCCTCAACACATTGCATAACCTCACTCCTTACTGCTGGATCTTGAATGTGATCAACATTGACTGCTACACATCCTGGAAAACAATCAATTTGACCAACCCATTCACAACAACCAATGGGAAAAAACCTAATACCCCCTTCATTCATTACCACAGTAACACGACCCAGGAACTCTTGACCTATTATTACGTCGTAGGGCATCACCTCTGGTGGAACTAAATGAAAAACTACACCATTAAAACACTGATTATCAATCTCAAGTCCAACAGAGACGCTGCCCCTTGATTGTATTTCACTACGGCCTAATCCAGACATCGTTAACGTTTCACTCGCCACTTCGGCGTTCAACATAGGTAAATACAACAAAGATAATAGGTTCACATCACTACCTGAATCTACGAGAGCATTTAAAACTGTATTATTAATTTTAATGTCTTTTACCGGCTTCCGAACACATTTGTTTACATGCGTGATGTTAACGTTTCGATCTTCGTAACTCGTAGCTGTCACATTTACAGTGTTGACATCTGTCAATGTCAGTGACGTTTCATTGTCTATGACCGCGCGGACAGTCTCGTTTCCGCTTACTTCGTTCACCGTTCCGAACATAGCCGCGGGTCGCTTGGGTCCCAACTTTCCGGCCTCCCCGGAACCGGAAGCCCCGCCTCCTCGGCCGCCGTGAGCGCCGCTGCCGCCTGCGCCCGCCATCTTGGCGCCTGAATGACCCGATGCCGATGCTGTAGCCGTAGATCTCATCGGATTTACGGGACACTGGTTACGAATGTGACCGAACTGATTACACCCAAAACACTTCAATCCGTTTTTACACACACCCGCTTCATGTCCCATGTCACCACAGCTATAGCACCGCCTCGCCGATCCCGATGCTGCCGAGGACGCCTCCGCCGACCTCGCATGACCTTTTAACCTCTCGGTTCTCTTTTCTCGCTCCCTGGTTTTGGACTTCATTTTCTCATAGAAAGCCAGCTTTTCCTTCAATGCTGGAAACGTGGTCACGCCGTACAGAATCACCTTATTGCTCTCGTAATCGTCGATGCCATCCACGATGTACTGTATCGCGATGTAGTCGGGAAATTTCGCACGCCGCGCTAGCTCTTTCATATGCAACATGTACTGATAATACGTCTCGCCTTTTAATTTCTTGCGTGCCGCCATTAGCTCGTGCATTTCCTTGACGTTCGCGGTGTCTGGAAATTCCTTCACAAGCGCAGCCTTGAGATCGCCGTAGGTTTTGAATGCCTTCTCGGATTTTAACCATAGCTCAGCCGTCCCGGTGAGTGACCGGCGAGCTACGATCAAAGTTTGTTGCGGCGTCCACTGAAATATCTCAGCGTTATCCTCGATGTCTTGAGCCCACTTACTCGACGAGTAAGATTTGTCGTCTCCGCTGAACTTCTCGATGAGCCCCTCTGTGAGCCCGAACGCCACCGGCGCCGCTGCAGTCGTAATCGTCGTTGATTTCGATTCCATCGTGCTCCGTAACTTCGTAATTCAAATTTAATGGCCGCCGCGTCGCGCCGGCCGGTGCGTCGTAGAAAACTTCGTGGAAATTCGTCGTTGATCGATCCCGGACGAGCCCCCAAAATCTGTAGCTCTCTTCGTGCTGGGGATCGATGACTTTGAAATAAAATCCCGTTTTAAACACTTATTACAACTTTTATTTCAACAACTTTGGCTCGTTCGTTACACTCAGTACCGCGTGGTTGCCTCTAACACCGTTCATTCAGTCCCTCTCTCTCTCCTTCGCTCACTCGCTCACGCCTCCCTCATATTCTGTCACGTTCCATTCCACTCGACATTCATTCCCGTGTATTTAGAAACATTTATGATAACTTTTCCTCGTTTAA